ATCTTCCCGCCCCTGGGAAGTCTCCATCTTCCCGCCCCTGGGAAGTCTCCATCTTCCCGCCCCTGGGAAGTCTCCATCTTCCCGCCCCTGGGAAGGTCTTAAAGCCCGAAAGAGCACAGAGGGCGCTTTCCCCGTCTGTAATGTGGTAACGAAGCCTGGGCCAGCGCCGCCCCAGGCTGGAAGGCGGCAGGGTCGTTGGGGACACCTGCCTCCCTCCCTCCCTCCCCAGTGGGAACCCACCGCGACTCTGTGCCCATCTGGGCGCGGGCTGTGCCTGGGAACACGCAGGGCCCGAGGCTTCCAGGCACCCTGGGGGAAGGGGTGGGGGGCGCAGCCCTGGCCTCTGGGGTTCCCTCAGAAAGGTCAGAATGCCATCAACGTGATTATTAAAATAACAATCAAACTGAAATGGGGTGGATCTCGCACAAGAATAAAGGAGTCAAGGAGCCAGGAAAAAATAAACCCACTCACATAACAGGAATTAAGGGTTAATAAAGAAGGCTTTGCAAATAATGGGGACAGGAAGGGTTATTCAAGAAATGATCCTGGGATAAATGATTAGCTCTTTGGGGAAAAAAAAAAAAAATTTAGATGCACATCTTTTACCATACACCAAAATTAATTTCTGACAGAGTTAAATGTGGGGGAGGGGGGATTTAAACCACAAAAAAGAGAAGACAATAGAAATGAGAAAGTTTCAGTTCTCTAGAGAAGAGGACATTCTGGGCTTAAAGGGGATGAAATAAGTACCAATAGGCAAAATGAATATGTTGGTTCATACAAAACAAAAAACCATAGGTTAAAAAAAAAAAAAAAGTGAAATTAAAAGTAGTCAATGGATTGGGGGAATGGCTCCGCCAATTGCAATATACAAAGGGTTGGTATCTTTAATATGTGAAAGCTTTTATAAAATTAATAAGACACTAAGACTATGATACTAAACTCATTGCTGTAGAGTCGATTCCGACTCACAGCGACCCTATAGGACAGAGTAGAACTGCCCCATAGGGTTTCCAAGAAGCAGCTGGTGGATTCGAATTGCTGACCTTTTTGGTTAACAGCCAGCTGAGCTCTTAACCACTGCACCACCAGGGCTCCAGTGATATTAAAGAGGGTAATAAACAGACAGTACAATAAAGGAAACAACTAAATGAGAAAATGTCACAATCGGAGAAATGAAATATCATTTGTAACTGATCAAATTAGGACTTTTAAAAAAAGGAATGCCCTATGCTAATGGAGATGAATGGGCCTTTCATACACTGTAGTGGAACATAAATTAGTAGAGCCGATGTGTATCCAGGAGTCTTAAATACACAGCTCTTTAAGCCAAAAAAATTTTTTAAAAAATGTAAATTTGGAAAAGGCTTTACAAACAAAGATATTTAATACCCCAAATTGGGAAACGCAGTGTCCAACAATAAAGGAATGACTAAATGAATTATGACATGGAACTCTTTTTTTAATATATATTTTATTATGTTTAACGTGTGAGTTTACACAGCAAATTAGGTTCCCATATAACAATTTCTACACAAATTATTCTGTGATATTGGTTACATTTTTTGTAGTTTTATTTTTTAGTAATGTTTATCTTGCTGATTTTTAAAATAATAGTGGTTCATTGTAGAAAATTTGAGAAATAAATAATTATAAAGATGAAAATAAAACCCATCCAAAATCCTAACATGCAGAGACAGCCATTGTTAACAGTTAATTGGCCTCCTTCCAGAAATATTTATGTATTTCTTATACAAAGTTGAGTATATATCTTCTATTTAGATTTGTATCCTGTTTGTTTAAACTTTCTGTTGTATGTAACTATGTATACACATGTATAAAGAAAGAGAGAACATTTCTTGACTTCTTATTATGTACAAAGAACTGTGCCACGCCCTCTTGATGGATTATCTTGTTTAATTCTCACAATATCCCTTTGAGGTATTATCATCTTCATTTCACAGATAGGAAATTGAGGATCAGGGAAGGAAATAATTTCCTGAAAGTTACAGTACTACTATGTAATGTAATCAAGATTGAAATCTTGGTGTTCTGACTTCACAGTCCATGCTCTTAACCAAACTCTATTCTACATCCCATGTCATTCAACATTCTTTGAAACATTCTTTGAAAAGGTGGTTTTAAAGGCTGCTGCATAATATCCACTAATATAAATGCACCAAACCTTAATTCATGCCGCTCGTGTTGAGCATCTATGTTGTTTCCAATTTCTTGCTTTTTAAAAATAATACCTCAAAGCACATCTTTGTGCATAAATCTTTGTCTTTTAATGATTGAGTCTCTTATTATTATTTAATTGTTGTACTTTAAGTAACAGTTTACATTCAAGTTAGTCTCTCATACAAAAATTTATACATACATTGTTATGTGACCCTAATTGCTCTCCCTATACTGTGACAGCACACTCCTCCTTTCCACCTCTGATTTCCCATGTCCATTCAACCAGCTCCTGACCCTCCCTGCCTTCTCATCTCACCTCCGGACAGGAGCTGCCCATTTAGTCTCATGCATCTGCTTGAGCTAAGAAGCACACTCTTCATGAGTATCATGTCCCATAGTCCAGTCTAATCTTTGTCTGAAGAGTTCGCCTCAAGAATGGTTTTAGTTCTGGGTTGACAGGGAGTCTGGGGACCATGCTTTCTGGGGTTCCTCCAGTCTCAGTCAGACCATTAAGTCTAACCTCTTATTGTTTTATTAGAGCATACGCCTAGAAGAAATTTCAGAGTCAAAGTAAGAGCTATAGCTGAACTTTTATGGAATCAATGGAAAGGACATTTGTAAAATCTTTATTTAAAAAAGGAGTAACAACAAGGAAATAAGTTTATTTGACATCTTTTTTGGCTATAATAAAGCCAGTCATCGGCAAACAGTTCAAATCCTGACTCTGACAACTGCCAGCTGTGTGGCCTTAGGCAGGTCACTCAACCTCTGTGAGGCTCATTTGCCTCATCGTGAAATGGAACTCACAGTGGTTGGGCAGATCTAATGAAGTGCTGTATGTCAAGCCCCGAACACATTGCCAGGTGCTCTGTGTCCTGTAAATGGTAGTTGGCCTCTGAAAGGACCAGTGAGTGGAAAAAAGCTTTGCAGACTGTGAAGCACTATTCAGAACAAAGGGAGGTATGGTCATCTGGCTCCTAGGGTGGGAGTGGCACCCTGAGTGCCTGGCCCATGAGAGAGGATTGGGTTTGGGGGCTACGGTGGGGATGGGAGGGGCCTTTCACCCGGGAAAACGGCTTTGTGGCAGAGCACCTGAGGTGCAGCTGGGGCTGTGGCCTGGAAAGCAGTCTTGTGGGTACCTCCTCCCCAAGCCCACACCTTGGATCTGCAGCTGGGTCCTGCCTCCTCTGGGTAGGTCATGGCTGAGCCTTGGCTGGTGCTTCTCCTGGCCCTCGGGTGTCCAACCCTGCCCACAGGTGAGCTCCCTCCCTGGGTCCCTTTCTGTCCTCCACTAGTCTGTCCAAGCCCACCTCCTCATTCTAAGACTGCTTGGGTGTAGACGGGAAGCAGGGAGGCAGGACAAGAGCCATTTGGAGCCCTTGGAGGTCCCACTAGAAGCCCATTATCCATTTCCATATTGTACTCGAACCCCAACTACCTTGCTCTGTAGTCCCCAAGTCCTGCTCCCCCAGAGTTCACAGCATTGGTAAGAAAGTCAGTCACCTCTTGGAGGGATAGAGAAATAACAGCAAGGTAGACGGGGGTCCATGTGGGCTGGCGGTTGGGGTAGGCAGCGTTGTGTTGTGCCATATGGACTGATTGTGAGGTCCTGTCCTGCTCCTCCTGCCCAACCTCCTGACCTCAGGGTACTCTATTCCAACAGGGCTCAGGGTGTCTCATGTTCACTCCCAGTGTCCCCTTATCTTCCTCGGCTCTTGGCGACTTTCCAGGGATATTTACCCTAACTTCCAAAAATCGAAACTGGAGCTAAAGGGCTAATATTTTGAGAAGAGAATTCCTACTGTGGTGGAGGAAGGTCTTTGGCCTTTGGGTCAGGGAGTCTCCTTGGTCTAAACCTGACCCAGTCTGTCACAGCATCTCCTTCCATCGGGAGATAAACCACACCCACATGGAACAGGGAAAGCCCATGGCAGGAGGCCTGAGCTCTGGGAAGGAAGCAGCCGGGGTGAGAAGGAGGAATCCTGGAAGGCTTCATGGGGGAGGTGGAGGCTGAACTCAACTTGACAAGTATCTCTATCTGTGTAACTGAAAAGTCTCAGAAGTTTGAGGAGCCCAGAGCTTACTCCCAGCCTTCTCTGTGCTCCCTTTATTTGCAGTGCCTTATTAATATTAATAACAGTAATACTTACCTCTCAGGGCACTTTACATTCATGATCTTTTCACAACAATTTTACTGGGCTGGTGTTATTATCCTCATTATATTGATGGGACAATTGAGACTCAGTAAATTAAGTGGAGGAGTCAGGAGTCGAGCCAGCTCTGTCTGAGGCCACGTCTCAGGCTTGGTTCATTGTAACGTGTGGCAAAATTTTAATCATCCTTCAAAGCAGGGTGGTCTACGTGACTGAGCATGGAATTTGGAGTCACATAGACCTGAGTTCAAATCCTGTCTAGGCTACTTACCAGCTACGTGCTCCTTGGCCAATTATTTGACCCCTAATAAATCTTTCCTGAACAACCCCCCAACTTCCCACAAGATTTTTGGGCATCCTCCCCTACACTCTGCACATTTCTTTAGCCTGGCTGCACTTAATCATAGAGTGAATTTGTTTGTAGGTTTTAACTTTTGAGATTTTACTTAAATGAAAAAATATCCAAATATTCAAAAATAATATTTTGTTACATATTAAATGAGTCATCTTTACTGAAAAGAAGATGATGAGAAAATCAGAACTATCCTAGAAACTATAGGGCAAATATTTCCACTACCCATATGATTTATTTATTTTTAATTATGAAATAAAACAGACCTGAAAATAACACAACAAACACTCATTCACTCTCCAAATGCTAACATTTTGCTATATTTAAATCAGATCTTTCTTTTTTTTTTAAAGAAACAAAAAGTTGTGGGTACCTTTAAAGCTTCCTTTGATCTCATTCCAGATCCTATTTCCTTCCCTTTTTCCCCAGACTAATCACTCTTCTGGGGATGGCACAATGTGGTATTATAATTATTTGTTTGAGGACCTGTCTTTCCCATGGGACTGAGTTCCTTGAGGACAGAGACAACATCTTAATCCCCAGTGCCTGTCACAGAACGGCATTCAGATGGATGGATGGACGGATGGATGGACACGTGGATGGATGGTAAAAAGAACGAATGGAAGAAAGGATGGTTGATGGAAGAGAGAATGGATGAAAGGATAGATAGATGGACAGAGGGAAGGACGGTTAGATGGCTAAATGTGAGGAAAGAGGAATGGATGTGTGAGTGGTAGGATAGATAGATGGATGGTGGAAGGATAGACAGAAGGATAGAAACCCAGAACCATAGCCTAGAAGGAAACGCCGGCCTGGAGGGACACAGACTGATCTAGCCCCCCGACTTAGTTATCTAGTGCTAGTGGATGGCTTTAACAAAGAGAAGTTTATTCTCTTACAGTCCAGTAGGCTAGAAGTCCAAATTCAGGGCACCGGCTCCAGGGGAAGGCTTTCTCTCTCTGTCGGCTCTGGGGGAAGGTCCTTGTCATCAGTCTTCCCTTGGTGTGGGAGCATCTCAGCGCAGGAACCTCGGGTCCAAAGGACGCACTCTGCTCCTGGCACTGGTTTCTTGGTGGTATGAGGTTCCCATGTCTCTCTGCTCGCTTCTCTCTTTTATATCTCAAAAGAGATTGGTTTAAGATACTGTCTAATCTTGTAGACCTCATCAATATAACTGCCACTAATCCATCTCATTACATCATAGTAATAGGATTTACAATGCAGAGGGAAATCACCTCAGATGACAAAATGGTAGACAATCATACAATACTGGGAATCATGACCTAGCCAAACTGACAGATATTTTGGGGGGACACAATTCAATCCATGACATGCCCCATAGGTGTGTACTCTCTTACAGGTGTGGGTAGCACGCCCTTCCCCTCTTTGGCCCCACCGATCACACTATTGGTGGATGGGAAGCAGCAGACGCTGGTAGTCTGCCTGGTCCTCGATGTTGCACCCCCTGGCCTTGACAGCCCCATCTGGTTCTCAGCTGGCAATGGCAGTGCACTGGATGCTTTCACCTACGGCCCTTCCCCAGCAGCAGACGGCACCTGGACTAGCTTGGCCCAGCTCTCCCTGCCCTCCGAGGAGCTGGCAGCCTGGGAACCCTTGGTCTGCCACACAGGGCCTGGGGCTGAGGGCAGCAGCTGGAGCACACAGCCCCTACAGCTGTCAGGTAGGGATGGAGTCTGGGGCCCTGTGGAAGCTCTCTGTCCCTTTTCACACACCTGAAACCAAGATTGGTGGCAGGGAAGGGAGGGCAGGCTCCAAGCCACAGGAGCATAAAGGGTGTCCAAGTGCAAGTCATCCAGGTGAGGTGATGCCTAGGCTCAGAGCAGGGTGGCCTCAGGGCCATGAATCCTGGGATTTACAACTGTGATACCCTGGCTCTCCTGAATGACTTCCAAGAGATAATAACGCCTCCTCCCTCCTAGGGTTGAGATATTTATATATATCTTACCCTATTTATATGACAAGGGCAGTGGTGGTTCAGTGGTAGAAGTCTCCCCTTCCATGCAGGAGTCTCGGGCTTGATTCCCAGCAATGCACCTCCTGCACAGCTACCACCTGTCTGTCAGTGGAGGTTTGTGTGTCGCTATGATGCTGAACATGTTTCAGCAGAATCTTCTAAACTAAGACAGACTAGGAAGAAAGGCCTAGCAATCTACTTCCAAAAATCAGCCAGTGAAAACCTTATGGATCACAACAGTCCGATCCTGTTGTGCATGGGATCACCATGAGTCAGTGGCCAACCCGACAGCAGCTAACAACAACGTATGTGTTATACTTTATAAGAATCAAATAATAATTAAAATAATAAATAGCGATCCGCTATTGAGTGTTTACTCTGTGCCAGGCACTGTTCTAAACACTTTACATTTATGAGATAGGTCATATTATTTCCCCCATTTTACAGATGGGGAAGCTGAGGCACGGGACATGAAGTAACACGTCCAAAGTCAGCTATTATTACTGACCAGATGACTTACTTCCTCTTTCTGGATTACCTCAGTTTTGTCACCTTCCAAATGGGAATATTGGTTGAATAAATACCCTGCCTTCCAAAGAATACTAAGAAAATAGATTCCTTGTCTGAAAGTGCTGAGGCACCTCAGCGCCACTAGGCCACAGAACAGGGATGGTGTGGATGCAGCAAGAGAGATCTGAGCTCTTCAGAGGAACCACAGCAAATGGGCTCAGGGTCCTTGCTGCTGGTTCATTTATCCAACATGGCCTGAACACCTCTGTGCCAGGGCCTGGGCATAGCACTGGGGATGAGGAGCTCTAAGAGCACAGCCCATACCAAAAGACTTACTCCCTTGTCCTTGGCTTACAGGAGAGGCTTCTTCAGCCAGGACCTGCCTCTGGGAAACTTTCAGGGGTGAGTACTGGGGTGGGGGTGGGGCTAAGGGGCTAGGGATCAGGACCCTGGGTCCTGGAGGGTGGAGTATCCAGCTTTGGCCTGACAGGTCCCACCTGTGGGTTGTTGGGTTGTTGGTTTGAGGCACTGGCTAGCCTGGGCCCATGGGTAAGATGGGGGTGGATCCTCTGGCTTCAGCCCAATCCCTGGACCCTGGTTGAGAAGCACAGGTGAGAGCCAAGGGGAGGGTCACTGGAGCTCTCTTTGGGCAGCCCAGATGAGTGGTCTCAGCATTAGAGCCTTGTGTAAACGGGAGACTGGGGTAGTGGCAAGAGCTCTGGACCAGGAGTCATGAAGTCTGGGATCCAGTCCTGCTCTGCTTCCTGACCAAATAGAAAAGTTTGAGCTGGTTGGTTACTCTCCTCTACAACAGATGCTATTACTTACCTGACTTATATCCCTCTGGTTGTCGGGAAATAAAATTAAACGAAGGCTAGAAAGGTATTTGTTATTATTACCAGTAAGAGCTGATGTTAGACACGAGGAAGGACTTTCCCTGGGGCAGGAGGACAAAGGGAGAAGGAAATAGCAAGGGCAAAGGACAAAGCCCCTCTTCTCTGGTGAACATTCCCTCTGGGTGGGGCAGAGATCCAGCCGCGAGGCTCCCAATGCGCGCCTTCTCCCGCAGGGGTGCCGGGCCAGGCCCTGCGGCTGGGGGCGCTGCGGCTGCTGCTCTTCAAACTGTTGCTGTTCGACGTGCTCCTGACCTGCAGCCGGCGCGCGCGGCCCAGGCGGACCCGGCGGGGGCTCCTCGCCCAGAGGGGTTCGGAGCTCCCTACGCCCCCAATAGCCCCGCGAGCAGACCGTCTTCTCCGTCCGCCGCCGCCGCCAGTCTGAGAACTCTCAGCTCCCGAAGATTGGACTTGGCCGCCGTGATGGAACGACGACTGGCAGAGAGCTCCACCCACCCTGCCGGGTTCACACCCTCGGCCCGGTCAGGAGCCCAGGAACCCAATCCGGGAGGAGGGACGTTCATACCGACCGAGCTTGGGCCAGGTTTTCATGATCCAACCTCAGTATTCCTTGCTCAAGTCTTGGAGCATTTGTATGTGGCCCTGCCTCCTACTGTACACTGCCAGCTTCCTGGGGGCTTCCTCTGTCTCCCCCCGCCCCCAGACTGAATGCTTTGAGAGGTAAAAAAGGCTGTGTCTCTCCCATCAGACTGGGAGCCTTTAAGGGTGGTGATCACCTAAGCACTTGGACATTTGAAGTGAAGATAACAGAACGATTAAAGGATAACTTAAATGACATAGGCAAATTAAAAATGTTTGAATTCGCATCTACCTTGGGAGGAGGGAATTTTGCAGATTTAGAGGAGGCAGGGGTGGTGCAAATGGTAAACGCGTTGGGCTGCTAACCAAAAGGTTGGAGGTTTGAGTCCACCCAGAGGCACCTTGGAAGAAAGGCCTGGCGATCTACTTTCAAAAAATAAGCCATTGAAAACCTTATGGCACACAGTTCTACTCTTACACACATGGGGAAGCCATGAGTCGGAATTGACTCAACAGCAACTGGTACTGGGAGAGGAGGCAGAAATCTGGGAAGGCTCCCTTGAAGAAGAGGGCTTCCTGAGGGTGAGAACCTGGAATTATAGAGTGGGTCTGGGGTTAGGGAGGAAGCTGTCCCATCTCTGTCTCCTCTTCCCTCATAGGAAAGTGTTTGGTGAGGCCCCCTCTCTGGCTGCTTAGCCTGACCCAAACTCTGTGAGAGGAGGTCAGGGCAGGGAGCCCAGAGACCTAGGGAAGTGGAGGGCTGGGCTTGATGTGAAGTCTTGTCCAGACTTGACGTAGTGAACAGGGCCAGGATTCCCAGGTAATAGGATCATGTCCAATGCCAAGAGCACAGATGGTAATTTCAAACTTACACGTTATTAATGAATTAAGGGTCATTATTCATTCAACAAATATTCATTGGGTATAAACTCTGAACCAGGTACTGTACTAAAGAGGCTTTTTTTTCTTTTTTTTCCTAAAGAGGGTTCTCGCACTGGTAGAATATGAGTGGAGTATAAACTGTATGCTCCATGTTTCCCCAGTTCCAGCAGCAAATCCAGTCTTTCCTGAAGGTTCCTCTCCCATAATCACCCCAAGAATCCCTGGGTGCTTCCATGTGAATCCAGATGTCGCCACAGGACAGTCTGCTGGATCAATGGCCCTACCTCAATCTTCCTCCCCTCTTGTGAATGTCTAGGCTTCCCCAAGGTGGGGGGGTCGTGGGGGGCTGCATTGGTTTTCTAGGGCTGTTGTGACAAGGTACCACAACATGATGGCCTGAAACAACAGAAATGTATTCTCTCACAGTTCTAGAGGCTAGAAGTCCGAATACAGGATATCGGCAGGGCTACGCTCTCTCCAGAGTCTCTAGGAGAAGATCCTTTCTTGTCTCTTCCAACTCCTGACAGTACCGGGAGTTATGTTGTGGCAGCCTAACTCTAATCTCTGCCGCCATCTTCTCACGGCTGTCTTCCCTGCATCTGTCTCTGTGCCTCTTGTCTTCTTCTAAGGACACCAGTCACATTGGATTAGGACCCACCCTACTCCAATATGACCTCATGTTACATTAATTATATCTGCAAAGATGCTATTTGCAAATAAGGTCATACTCACAGGTAGCAGGGTGTCATGGATTGAATTATGTCTCCCCAAAATATGTGTCAACTTGGCTGGGCCATAATTCTCAGTGATTTGGCAGTTATACAATGATGTCATGATCCCCTGTGATGTGATCTGATGTAATCAGCCAATCAGTTGTAAGGGGATTAGGGTGGGATGTAACACTCTTAATCAGGTCACAGCCCTGTAAGGGGAGTTTTCCTGGGGTGTGGCCTGCATCACCTTTTATTTTACAAGAGATAAAAGGAGAGAGAAACAAGCAAAGAGTAGAGGACCTCAGTACCACCAAGAAAGAAGAGCCAGGAGTGGAGCGCATCCTTTGGACCAAGAGTCTATACACTGAGACTCTCCTAGACCCAGAGGAAGATTGATGCCAAGACACATGGAGATCTCCAAGGAACACTGGGTCCACAGATGATGAAAGAAGACAAGTACTTTTCCCCAGAACCAACAGAGAGAGAAAGCCTTCCCTACTCCGAGAGCTGGCGCCCTGAATTGAGACTTCTAGCCTCTTAAACTGTGAAAGAATAAATTTGTGTTTGTTAAAGCCATCCACTTGTGGTATTTCTGTTATAGCAGCACTAGATAACTAAGACACAGGGGTTAGGATTTGAATATATCTTTTTTTGGGACACAAACCAATCCATAAAAAGGACCATACTCTAGCATCCCCCAGCGCTCAATCGGTGTCAATGATGCCCCTAGCTTCCCTGAGTTTCTGTGCCATCTCAATTGCTTGTTTTGTGAAAACCCTCACTATCTCCTTCACTGCCCATCTCTCACTAGCCTGTAAGGAGATTCTCCCTCTCTTTTTTTGTTTCTTCAAGGAGGGTGTCCCATAGCTTCTGGGGATGAATCTGTCCACCATTATCACAGGGTCCGCTCCTTCTCTGACACGCGGACTGAGGTGGGGGGAGACTGGGTCCAGGAGGTCCCACCACTTTCACCAACCACCATCCCTTCTCAGCTCTTAGCCCAGATGCTGAGCCCAGGCCTCCTGCCAAACTAATTCTTGTCTCAGTAAATGTCCTCTCAGACGCCCTGTCTTGGATTGTGTCCCCCAAAAATATCTGTCAACTTGGCTAAGTCATGATTCCCAGTATTGTATGATTGTGTAATCTGATGTGATTTCCTTATGTGTTGTAAACTCTATCACTATGATGAGGTTATACTGATGACGTCTACAAGATTGGATAGTGTCTTAAACCAATCTCTTTTGAGATATAAAAGAGAGAAGCGAGCAGAGATACATGGGGACCTCATACCAGCAAGAAAGCAGTGCTGGGAGCAAAGCCAGTCCTTTGGACCTAAGGTTCCTGCGCTGAGATGTTCCCAGACCAAGGGAAGACTGATGCATCACAAGGACCTTCCTCCAGAGCTGACAGAGAAAGCCTTCCCCTGGAGCTGACACCTTGAATTTGGACTTGTAACCTACTAGACTGTGAGAGAATAAACTTCTTTGTTAAAGCCATCCACTTATGGTATTTCTGTTAGAGCAACACTAGATGACTAAGACAGGCCCTTTTGGTCATTCCAGAAGCTGGGCTTCCCTCAGATTCTCCCTCCCTCCAGGTCTTGCTCTAGTTCCCCAATTCGGCCCTGCCCCAGACTCTGAATCCCTGCTGTGGCTAGCTTAACATTATTTACCAGGAGGGCTCCTGGGCCTACGTAAATCAAGAACCATGGCTAGGTTCTGAGCCTAGAGAACATGGAGGAACTCAGGAGAGTGTCCTGATCTTGTACAAGGTGGAATTCTACAAACCGCAGTCCCTGCTTATTCAAAGTGTCTTTGTTACCAACACAATTTTTTGACCCAGAAATTAAGGAAAGGAAATGTCAAATCAAAGGACTGGGACCAAATTACTGGTCTGAGTGCTGTGGGGACCATGGTCTCAGGGAACATCTAGCTCAACTGGTATAACATAGTTTATAAAGAAAATGTTCTACATTCTACTTTGGTAGGTAGTATCTGGGGTCTTAAAAGCCTGTGAGCAGCCATCTAAGATACTCCACTGGTCTCACCCCATCTAGAGCAAGGGAGAATGAAGAAAACTAAAGACACAAGGGAAAGATTAGTCCAAAGGACTAATGAACCACAACTACCATGGCCTCCACCAGACTGAGTTCAGCACAACTAGATGGTGCCCGGCTACCACCACCAACTGCTCTGACAGCAATCACAATAGAGAGTCCCAGACAGAGCTGGAGAAAAATGTAGAACAAAATTCTAACTCACCAAAAAAAAAGACCAGACTTACTGGTCTGACAAAGACTGGAGAAACCCTGAGAGTATGGCTCCTGGGCACCCTTTTAGCTCAGTAATGAAGTCACTACTGAGGTTCACCCTTCATCCAAAGATTAGACAGCCCCATAAAACAAAATGAGACTACAGGGGCACACCAGCCAGGGGCAAACACTAGAAGGCAGGAGGGGACAGGAAAGCTGGTAATGAGGAATCCAAGGTCGAGAAGCGAAGAGTGTTGACATGTCGTGGGGTTGTCAACCAATGTCACAAAGCAATGTGTATTAATTGTTTAATGAGAAACTAGTTCTGTAAACCTTCATCTAAAGTACAATAATAAAAAAAAAAATCAGCCATTGAAAATCCTATGGATATTACTTGGTCATAAAGAGAAATGAAGTCATGATATGTGCTCCAACATGGATGAACCTTGAAAACATTGTGCTGAGTGAAATGTTAGACACAAAAGGACAAATACTGTATGATCCAACCTGTACAAAACAGGCAAATGCATAGAGACTAAAGCTTATTAGTGCTTACCAGGTGTGGGAGGGAAGGGGAAAGGGGGAGTCATTTCTTAGAAGGCAGTGAGTTTCTGTTAATGGTAGTAGAATAATTTAGAAAAGGATAATGGTAATGGTTGCACAGCATGAACATAATTAATGCCACTTAATTATACACGTAGAAATGGTTGAATTGGCAAGTGTTTTGTTATAGATATTTTTATCACAATTAAAAAAAACAAAACAGCCCTATGGCGCACAGTTCTACTCTGATACGCATGGGGTGGCCATGAGTAGGAATTGACTCCGTGGCAATTGGAAAGGAAATATAAGGCACTGGGGAACAGGGTTTTGTGAGCAAAACTGTAATTTTCAGACAACTTCCCAGAGCAGTAGTCTTCGTCTGTGTGAATCCACAGAACACTGAGCTGAGGGGCAGCCTGAAGCAGCTCCAAAGAGTCCTTCTCTTTTTTTTTTTTTTTCCTACCAATGCAACATTTAATCAGAAATATATCATTGGGGGACCTCATACCACCAAGAAAGCAGTGCTGGGAGCAGAGCGCGTCCTTTGGACCGGGGTCCCTGTGCAGAGAAGCTCCTAGTCCAGGGGAACACGGAAGAGAAGAAGGCCGACAGAGAGAAAAAGCCTTCCCCTGGAGCTGATGCCCTGAATTTGGACTTTTAGCCTACTTTAACTGTGAGGAAATAAACTCTTCGTTGAAACCAAAAAAAAAAAAAAGAAATATATCATCATTTGGATTTGCCATGTTAGCAATAAAATAAGATTGATTACATAACAAAAGAATCTCTGGGTGGTTTGAAAAAATGACTCAAAGGAAACAAAATAGTCCATCAAACTTTCATGCTTAATATATTCTTATTATTTTCTCTTTTTTTTATTTTTGTTGTTGTTGAGAATATACACAGTGGAATATACACAAATTCAACAATTTTCCACATGTACAATTCAGTGACATTGATTATATTCTTTGAGTTGTGCAACCGTTCTCACTCTCCTTTTCCCAGTTGTTCCTCCCCATTAACATAAACCTACTTCCCTTTAAGTTTCCTATCTAATCTTTCAAGTTGCTATTGTCAGTTTGATCCCATATAGCTAGATCTTAAAAGAGTACAATGCTCAAGGCAAGCATTCTCTTCAATCTCATTAATTCTGACTTCCATTGCCTCAATTCTGCTCCTATGACTTTCTATTGAGTTGTCTAATTCTGAAATTTTATTGTTAATCTTCTGGATTTCTGACTGCTGTCTCTCTATGGATTCTTGCAGCCTGTTAAATTTGTGATTATGCTCTTCTCTAATCTTTTTAATTTCCTCTATTGCGTGTTCTGCATTTTGTTTAATTTCCTTCCTAATTTCTTGAAGAGTTCTGTATATTAATCTTTTGTTATCTCTTGTATTTTGTATTCTGTAATTCCGAGAAATTTTCCTCTTCTGAAAAATTTCTAGATGCTTTATTTTGGGAGCTTACTAAAGCCATCATGGATTGCCTTTTTATGTGATTTGATACCGACTGTTGTCTCCAAGCCATCAATAAGTTATTATATTTATTTATTTTATGTTTGCTTACTGTGTCCTAGCTTCTTGTTTTGTTTTGATATGCTCGTATAGGCTGCTTGTATGAGCTAGTTTGATTACTGGCACCTTTGAAGCTCTAATGTCCTGTCACCAGGTGGTTAGATCTGTTACTAGGTATGTGAGCTCAGGAGTCCACCCACTCCTCCTGTATGGATTCAGCTCAGGTGCCCAGGTAGATAGCCACGAAATGTGTAGTGTAGGCTCTCACTTGCAGTCCTAGACAGGCATGGGTGATTGATGTAGGCACAGGCATCTGGCTGCAGCAGGGGGACACACTCTAAGCAAGGCAGGGGGTGCTGACGGCTAGGAGGAAGGCATGTCCCTGTTCCCTACAGTGCGTAGGTGGGCAGGTTTTGCAGCTGGACTATGAGCACCTAATGCTGTTGCCTGTAAGAACTGGGGGGGCACCTCTTATTCATGGGCCCCTATTGCAGGTGGGTAGGTGGCATGGGTGGAGCCACCAGTCCTCAGGCCCCTGATGTGGGTAGGTGAAGACCCTGCTTAATGGGCGGAGCAGTGTCAAATGTCAAGAACCTGCCACTTCACTGCCAAAACAGTTCACATTAGACTTCAGGTATATACACTGTTGTACTGCGGTAATGAGGGCCTATGCTATTGAGATGGGCCCACACAAGTCTATGCAGGGGGAAAGGCACTCAAAGTCCATGGATCCCTTATGCCTGTGCCTAGGCAAAGGAGCTGTGCCTACCCTGGGTTCCTGGCTTAGGGGAGCCAGCAGTTTATTTTTTCCCATTTGTTAACTTGTTCACTCTCCAATGCAGGGAGAATAGCTCCAGGCATGTGATGGATCCTACTTCTGGCCCAGGGGACTCGGCAATTGCTAAAGCCGGTCTGGGACCCAGCGCACAGGAGGGAGTGGGAAGGTAAATGGGAGTCAGGTTCTTCCCTAAGGGGGGTGCTTTTGATCCACACGATAAGCCATACGCAAGTACTTATCTTTTGCGGATGAGGGCTGCTTCTCACTGGTTCTGGGTGGCCGTGCAGACTTTCTAGCGCTGGGTCTCTCCTGGTGTGGAAAATGCGCCACACGAGCACAGCAGCTTGCCTGCCTCACTTCTCACCCACGAGCTGCTCAGACCTGAAGGGCTCAGGCTCTTGCCAGGTCAGATCTGGCAACTCCTCGCTGCTTCCGAACTGTCTCTCCCTCCCCCTGCCACTCAGTCGGCTCCTCAACTCTGCCTTTGATGTTCAGGACTCCCAGATTGCCATATATAATCGAATCACTGGTTTTTTTGGGTCTTTGTTGTAAGAGGGTCCACCGGAAGCGTCTGACTACTCCTCCATCTTGGCCTTGCCTCAAGGCAGGCATTCTGTACTAGTTAACCTAAACTATTGTCTGGTTTTAGGAAGACTTCAGGGAATATTTTTGGTTTAAGGTTTAAAGATGATTTCAGAGCTTCATCTAGTCTCATAGCTCCAGAAATTCTGGGCTCCATGAAGGAGTCCTCCTCTTGATGACCCAGCAGATTGGGGTTTTATTGAGCATCTCCTTGTGCCAGGCACCCCACAGTTGCTTGGGAGGTGGAAGGGAAAAGCAGTCTTTTATTTGCCAAGTTCCTGCCTCTCAGGGAGCTCAAAATCCAATATATAAGTAGCAGAGCAGTACAAACGGACTGAGGTTACATACTTACAAAAAAAAAAAAAAAAAAGCCTTAAATTTTTACAAACTGCCAGATACACTTTTAATTCCTTAACCTATTTGAGCTTCCCAACCACAGGCAAGCCTCACATAGCAGCTAGGCAGATCACTCGACATCATACAAATAGAAACTGAAGCTCAGAGATAAAGTTATTTGTCCTGGTTCTCACTGGGACAAATCTAGAGTTGCTGGGCACTAAGAAAGCTGTCTGAAGGTTGGAGACTGCTTGAGTCTTCCTAGTCTCATCCACAGCAGCTACTAGAGTGATGGGCAATAACACAACAATAAAATAAAAAACAGGTGCTCAGGCACAGAATGTGGAAATTATTCAACAAGATCATTAACATCACATGCAAGATCATTCAAAAATGGTTGCAGCAGTACATTGACAGGGAACTGCCAGAAATTCAAGCCAGATTCAAAAGAGGACATGGAACAAGGGATATCATTGCTGATGTCAGATGGATCTTGGCTGAAAGCAGAGAATATCAGAAAGATGTTTACCTGTGTTTTATTTACTATGCAAAGGCATTCAACTGAGTGGGATCATAACCAATTATGGCTAACATTGGGAAGAATGGGAATTCCAGAATACTTAATTGTGCTCACATGGAACTTGTACATAGACCAAGAGACAGTCATTGGAACAGAACAAGGGGATACTGAGTGGTTTAAAATCAGAAAAGGTGTGTGTCAGGGTTGTATCCTTTCACCATACTTATTTAATCTGTATGCAGAGCAAATAATCCGAGAAACTGGACTATGTGAAGAAGAATGTGGCATCAGGATTAGAGGAAGACTCACTAACAACCAGCGTTATGCAGATGACACAACCTTGCTTGCTGAAAGTGAAGAGGACTTGAAGCACTTACTGATGAAGATCAAAGACTACAGCCTTCAATATGGATTACACCCCAACATAAAACAAAAATCCTTACAACTGAACCAAGAAGCAACATCATGATAAACGGAGAAAATATTGAAGTTGTCAAGGATTTAATTTTACTTGGATTCACAATCAACACCTATCTGCTGTAAAAGACCTTTTTAAAGTGTTAAAAAGCAAAGATGTCACCCTGGAGACTAAGGTGCGCCTGACCAAAGCCATGGTGTTTTCAGTCGCCTCATATACATGCGAAAGTTGGACAATGAATAAAGAAGACCGAAGAAGAACTGACGCCTTTGAATTATGGTGTTGGCAAAGAATAATGAATATACCATGGCTTTCCAAAAGAACAAACCTGTCTTCGAAGAGTACAGCCAGAATGCTCCTTAGAAGCGAGGACAGTGAGACTTCGTCTCCCTTACTCTGGACGTATTACCAGGAGGGACTAGTCCCTGGAGGACATCACGATTGTTAAAATCAAAGGTCAGCGAAAAAGAGTAAGATGCTAAACAAACCGGATTGACACAGTGGCTGCAACAACGGGCTCAAACATAGCAATGATTCTGAAGATGGCGCAGAACCAGGCAGTGTTTTCTTCTGTTGTACATAGCCAGGACCGACTGGAGGGCACCTAACAACAAGAAAGGATTTGACGACCCCGGGAAGAAAGTGACGTTCAAGGAGGCGATGAAGGCTGTAAATACGACCTTCCCCACATCTTCCAGGACCATCTCGCCCGACTTCCTCCCACTGAGGTCCAGACCACTGCTTCCTCTCCCGATTCTGTTTTTCCAACCCCTCCCAGAGCCTCCGTTGAAGATGACAAGAGATGTTGCCATAGGTCACTGAGGTCACCATCGGCTCTCTGATTGGCCAAGGTGGAAAGAAGCTCGTCCTTCCATTCGCCAGATGGCGAACCCGTACAAAGCCCATTGGCTGAGTCATCCGCGGGTCTTCGTCCTCTTTGGCGGCCGGCTGAGGCGGTGAGAGGAGGAGGCGGGCAAAGAGCTTGCTGTTGCGGTGGTTACGCCGAGACACGTGTGCAGTCCCGGAAGCAGCTTGAGGAAGCGGCCCAGCGCGCGCGGCGGGAGGGAGCGCTTCGGGGTCCGCTGGGGTCGGGTCCGGCCGGGCCATGGAGTCATCGCCTGCGCGCGCGCCCCAGCCCGGGCCCCGCTGCATGCTACTCCTTCCGCTGCTGCTGCTGCTGTCGACCCCGGAGCTGAGCCCGAGCCAGGCAGGAGCCGAAGAGACCGACTGGGTTCGACTGCCCAGCAAATGTGAAGGTGAGGAGTGTATCTGCCTGGGGGGCAGGGTTCAATGGACAAGGCTTGCGGGGAAGGGTCTGGAGAATGGAAGGTCCTGGGCTCTTGAGGGAGAGGCTTTTCATTCATTTAACCTACTGTGTGCCTGGCATTGTAGACGCTGGGGCACAGAGGTGGGCAAGAGATTCGGTCTCTGACCTCCTCGAGCTCATAAACTGGTAAAAACAAGCAATTATAATCCAGAATAATGGATGACATGAAAGGGGAAGTATAGGGCTTTGGGGACCAGGTGAGGAGCACCTATTCTAGCCTGGAACGGGGGAGGCTGTGTGTAAATAGCTTCCGGAAAGGCTTCATATGGGAAGCCTGAAGAGTAATTAGGTGTCAGCCAAGTGAAGAGAAAGAGGCTACAGACTAAGGAGGCAAAGAACGGGTTTGAGGAACTGAAAAGTTCTCTGTGACTTGTCTTGGGGGAAAAAGAACCTGAGACTATCCCCTTCGTGCCTCACCCCAACCTGATCTGTATAATTGTCTACCACCGCTAAACTGAGCTCCTTGAGGATAGAGACTTCTAGGGCTTGGCGGGGAAGAGTCTTAGATATCAGTTAACAGAGTGCCTGGTAGGCACTCAATAAATGTTTGTGGAATAAATATGAATAAATGGGGGCTGTAAAAAGGGCCAATAACTGGAGGTACCAAATTGCTGAGAGTGAAAGTTGAAGAGGGCTTGTAGGTGGGTGTGTGCGGAGGAGACAGGAGGGTCTGAGACCTAAAGGGTCACCTTAGGGGAAGAATAGAGTCTGGGGGAACTTCGTGAGGGAGGATTTTAGGAATATGGAGAAAAGGAGTGAGTCCCAAAGAAGTCGGGGTAGAGCAATGGAATTTCCAAGAGTCAGGACTATGAAGGTCCTATCTCTTCTTCCCCTCTATTTCTTTCTCAGTTTTATTCTCAGACCTTCACAATCACTCTGTCCCACCTCCTTAACCCCAGGCACCCCAGAAAGCTGACTATTAATTCACCTTATTGTAATTCAAAGCTTACAGCCAGATATTCCCTAAGCACTAGAAGTGAGGGTGCAGTGATTTGGGCCCATAATCCTTCCATTTGAAAGATTTAAAGTCCAGATGCTCCAGAGATAAGCTGACTTCGCTGTTTGGGCCCCCAGTATGGATTCTAGCCTGTGCCTCCCTCCCTCTCTGGAACTAAAACAGTCAAGATTATGATGCTTTCCTTTCACTCTTCCTCTAGTGGTTACTAACTAACAGCCTTTGGAGGTTTCACTTCCTCTGTGTTTTCTAATTCTGTCTTCAAAAAGTCCCTACCTTTCTCTTACTGTTCTCATAGTTTAAGCAGCTCAAATTTATTTTCCCTTAGGAGGCAATCACAGATTTATAGAAGCATAGAGCTGGCAGAGATCTTAGAGATCATTCTAGACCAACTTCATTTTGTAGATAATTGATGAAGATTAGTTTAAAAGGGATTTTCAGTTATAGGATGGCTTGGCAAACTCCAACCTTAGGCTCCTCATAATTATTGTTTTTATTTTTATTTATTATTATTATGCCTTTGTTATTAAATGCTGACTGTGTCTGGCCCACAAGCCAGCCTGCTGGCTCAGTAACCTGAGTGGAATAGGCCTTGGTACAGAGGAGAGAGAACCTGCCCAGAAAAAGAGTGGCTGGATGTCTTTGAGGGTCTGGGGTCTGTGCCATGAGTATCCTCTGAGTCTGGTTCTGGTTAGGAACCCCAGAGGAGGTCTTGAGACGTGGAGGTTTGGAAGAGTTGGGAAGCAAGGTTGTCGTTAATGGGTATAAGAGAGAAAGGATGTTTCAGCCCCCCAGGCCTGGAATACTCCACATTGAGGGCATGGGAGAAGGGGGCAAAAGAGCCAGGGAAAATGATGAACTTGGTAGGGAGCCCAGATGATCCTGGGTGAAGAGCCAGGGAGGTGAGACACCCTCAATTCATTTTAGATTCTGAGATCATCAGCTTATCTTTTGGAATTTTCGTGTGTTCCAAGCTGTCAAAGTCAACAAGTAATATATACATTGTAAAATCTCACCAGAGAAGCCTTCAAGGGGATTTTTTTATTTTGGTGATAAGTTAGTTTTCTACCAAACTCTGTGGTTAGTGTTGAGGCTGATGGCATTTAGCCAGCAGACCGTGTTCCATTCAGAGGCACCAGAAACTTTTTGACCACAAACACAGTCTCTATCAGCAATATTGATTAAGTGTCCAACATAAACAGAGTCTCAGACTAAGGGAATAAAGAAGACATCCAATACATGATGCTCACTTTGGGGACCCTTTTAGTCTAGTTGGAGAAGCACATGAGATGACCAAAGGCCCGTAGTGAGAGCATGGATCCTTCAGAAGCCCCAGTGAAATCAAGAGCACCTGGGATTAGTCCCAAAGGGCTTCCTGAGGGAGGAGGCTTTTAAAGTGAGGTTGGGAGAATGGGCAAAGAAACCCCTAGAGGGCTTTAAGCACTTACTAGGGCCTCAAGCCACCACTCATCTTTCAGCTTGTTGTACTGTGGTAGCTTGCATGTTGCTGTGATGCTGGAAGCTATGCCACTGGTATCTTAAATGCCAGTAGGGTCACCCATGGTGGACAGGTTTCAGTGGAGCTTCCAGACTAAGACAGACTAGGAAGAAGGACCTGGCAGTCTACATCTAAAACAATGGCCAGTGAAAACCTTATAAATAGCAGCGGAACATTGTCTGACATAGTGCCAGAAGATGAGCCCCTCAGGTTGGAAGGCACTTAAAATATGACTGGGGAGGAACTGCCTCCTCAAAATAGAGGGGACCTTAATGATGTTGGTAGAGTCGAGCTTTCGGAACCTTCATTTACTAATGTGGCATGACTCTAACAGAGAAGAAACAGCTGCAAACATCTATTAATAATCAGAACGTGGAATGTATGAAGGAAGAATCAAGGAAAATTGGAAGTTGTCAGAAACAAAATAGAACATAGAAACATCAGTATCCTAGGCATTAGTGAACTGAAATGAACTGGTATTGGCCACTTTGAATCAGACAATCATATCGTCTACTATACCAGGAATGACAAATCGAAGAGGAATGCGTTGCATTCATCATCTAAAAGAACATTTCAGGATCTATCCTGAGGTACAGCACTGTCAGTAATAGGATAATATCCATATGCCTATAGGAAGACCAGTTCATATGACTGTTATTCAGATCTACACACTAACCACTAATGCCAAAGATGAAGAAATTGAATAGTTTTACCAACTTCTGCAGTCTGAAATTAATCAAACATGCAGTCAAGATGCATTAATAATCACTGGTGATTGAAATGCAAAAGTTGGAAACGAAGAAGGATCGGTAGTTGGAAAATATGGCCTTGGTGATAGAAACCATGTTGGTTGGAGATCACATGTTAGAATTTTGCAAGACCAATGACTTCTTCATTGCAAATACCTTTTTTCAACAACATAAATGACAGCTATACACGTAGACCTCACCGGATGGAATACACAGGAATGAAATCAACTACATTTGTGGAAAGAGACAATGGAAAAGCTCGGTATCATCAGTCAGAACAAGACCAGGGGCTGAATGTGAAAAACACCATTAAATGCGCATACGCAAGTTCAAGTTGAAGCTGAAGAAAATTAGGACAAGTCCAGGAGAGCCTAAGTATAACCTCGAGTATATCCCACCTGAATTCAGAGACTATCTCAAGAATAGACTTGACACATTGAACACTGATGACCAAAGACCAGACGAGTTGTGGGGTGACATCAAAGACATCATACATGAAGAAACCAAAAAGTCATTAAAAAGACAGGAAAGAAAAGACCAAAATGGATGTCAGAAGAGACTCTGAAACTTGCTCTTGAATGTAGAGTAGCTAAAGCAAATGGAAGAAATGATCATGTAAAAGAGTTGAACAGAAGATTTCAGCTCAAGAAGACAAAATAAAGTATTATAATGAAATATGCAAAGACCTGGTATTAGAAAACCAAAAGGGAAGAACACAGTTGGCATTTCCCAAGCTGAAAGAACTGGAGAAAAAATTCAAGCCTTAAGTTGCAATATTGAAAGATTCTATGGGCAAAATACTGAATGATGTAGGAAGCATCAAAAGAAGATAGAATACCCAGAGTTACTGTACCAAAAAGTAGTAGTTGATGTTCAACCATTTCAGGAGGTAGCATATGATCAAGAACTGATGGTACTGAAGGAAGAAGTCCAAGCTATACTGAGGGCGTTAGTGAAAAACAAAGTTCCAGGAATTGACTAAATACCATTTGAAGTGTTTCAACAAACGGATGCAACGCAGGAAGCGCTCACTTTTCTATGCCAAGAAATTTGGAAGACAGCTACCTGGCCAGCTGACTGGCAGAGATCCATATTTGTTCACGTTCCTAAGAAAGGTGGTCCAACAGAATGTGGAAATTATCAAACAATATCATTAATATCACATGCAAGTAAAATTTTGCTGAAGATAAAAATGGTTGCAGCAGTACCTTGACAGGGAACTTCCAGAAATTCAAGCCGGATTCAGAAGAGGACGTGGAACAAGGGATATAATTGTTGATGTCAGATGGATCTTGGCTGAAAGCAGAGAATACCAGAAAAACATTTACCTTTTATTTGCAAAGGCACTCAACTGTGTGGATCATAACCAATTATGGCTAACAAAGGGAAGAATGGGAATTCTACAATGCTTAATTGTGCTCATGTGAAACCTGTACATAGACCAAGAGGCAGTCATTTGAACAGAACAAGGGGATACTGAGTGGTTTAAAATCAGAAAAGGTGTGTGTCAGGGTTGTATCCTTTCACCATAGTTATTCAGTCTGTATGCTGAGCAAATAATCTGAGAAGCTGCACTATATGAAGAAGAAGCGGCACTGGGGTTGGAGGAAGCCTTACAACAACCTGCAATATGCAGATAACCTCACTTGCCGAAAGTGAAGAGGACTTGAAGCACTTACTGATGAAGATCAAAGAGTAGCCTTCATTATGGATTACACCTCAACATA